CATTCTTCTACATATAGAATATCCAGTTTTCACCACATTATTTGTTAAAAGGCTGTCTTTTCTCCAATGTATTTTGGCACCTTTGTCAAGAATCAGGTAACCGCAGATGTGTGAGTTTGTCTCTGTGTCTTGTGTTCTATTCTATTTGTCTATGTGTCTGTTTTTACACCAGTACCATGTTGTTTTTGTTACTATAGCTCTGTAGTATCATTTGAAACTGGGTATTGTGATGCCTCTAGCATTGGTCTTTTTGCTCAGGATTGCTTTGGCTATTCTGTGTCTTTGTTCCTCTATATGAATTTTAGGATTACTTTTTCTAGTTCTGTGAAATGTCATTGATATTTTGATGGGGATTGCATTGAATCTGCAGATCACTTTTGATAATATAGCTTTTTATTTTTCCTCAATACTGGGGATTGAGCCCAAGCAAGCTTTATCACTGAGCTACATTCCTAGCCCTTTTTATTTTGAGATAAGGTCCCACTAAGCTGCTGAGAGTCTTGCTAAATTGCTGAGATTGTCCTTGAATATGTCATCCATATACTTTAGTCTCCAGAGGCACTGGGATTATAGGCATGTGCCACTGCTCCCAGCAATCATTTTAACAATATTAATTCAGCCTATCCATAAACATGCAGGGGTAGGGAGGAGGGGGTCTGATCATCTTCCAGTGTCATCTTCTTTTTCCATTGTTCTGTAATTTCCCTTGTAGAGGTGTTTCCTTGGTTAGATTTATTCCTAGGTGGTAGTGGCAACTGCTGTTGAAGCTACTGTGAATGGAGTTATTTTCCTGATTTCTTTCTCAAATCCCTTCTGTAGGGAAAATTCCTTAGGTAGACTTGATGCCTCCCACTTTCATACATCTAGTACATTTTAGCACCTCTAACCCCTTTATTGAATGTCTTTCTTTTCATGTCTATTTCCTCTCACTGGAATAAGATCTGGATCTTATTCAGCATATACTAAGCACATAATGTGGTCATGGTGTACAGTAGGTTCTCAGTAATGGTGACTATTATTATCCAGGGTAATTAGCACCTTAAGACCAGTATATTCTAAATGCTCAAGAAGTGTTGAGCTGAAATATCAGTATGTTCTTGCCACTTGTCCAGGGCCAGACAACTGCTAAAGTACCAGTCCATTCTGGGTTGTTAGGGAGTTCAAGATCTACTTCCACTACCAAAGACCTGGCATTGTACTTTTTTTCCCTTGCCTATTGGCCTCTGTGTTAATTTTCAAAATGGGTGGCTTCAACAATATAAGCTTATTTTCTCATAGTTCTGAAGGCTAGAAGTATAAGATTAAGGTGTCCCCAGCACTGGTTTCTTCTGAGGCCACTCTCCATTGCTTATAAATAAATGCCTATCTTCATTTTCAAATAGCATTCTTCCTCTAAGTGTGACTGTGTCCAAATTTCCACTTCTCATAGGTACACGAGTCAGAATGGGTTAGAGTCCACCCTAACGACCTCATTCTAACATAAATGCCTCTTTAAAGGCCCTAACTCCAAATTCGGTCTCATTCAGGACTGGTGATTAGCATTTCAACATAAGAATTTTGCAGGATACAATTCAGTCCATAACTACCTATTGGACTGTGAGCTCCTCAAAAATCAGGAACTTAGGCTTCCTTCTTAGGCACCATTGCACCTATCAGAACACCTGGAACACAGGAGATTCTCAGCAAATCATGTGTGGGATACAAAAGTGAAGGACTTCCCAGAAGTACAGTCCAAATCTGTAGCCTCAAAATCCCGTGGCCAGCACCAAGAAAAATTAGGTTTTACTCTTTCCCAGAAACAGTGTTTGTTGCTGTCATCATCTCTAGCTAGTTCACTGCCAAACACCTATTTATGTGGCACTCTATTCATAGCATAAAAATGAAATAATTAAGGACAGATATCCAAAGCTGTTGACAATATCCTCTTCTCTCCGGATCTATTCTAATATTTGCAGACAGCTTGGCTAGAGTCAGATTCAAGGTTAAAAGAAAACCAACACTGCTCTGCCTTCAGAACAAGGTGTAACAGTGTAGGATAAAGGAGCTGGGCATCTGCTGCTTTTTTCCTACCCAAAAGGAAACTCTCCCTCTCTGTTCTGTGTGATTTTGGTAGACCTATCAATCACATAGTCTGCCTTCCCCAGTTTCCGGAGGGGCACATGACGTAATCAGTTCCCCCACATTCTAGGAATTTGAATCCTATGTAGAGTGACATGAAAAATCATTGGAGGGAAGTCCATCAATCCTATGCCATTAAAGCTTCCTGGTATACACATCCCTGAAAGTTACTGACTTTCTCAAGGCTTGATCAACTATTTTTGTTTGAGACCTACCTGGTAGATTTCCAACAAATGCTTTTCCCTTAAATTACATAGTGAATCTTAACATATACAGGGCCTCTAGAAGTGGAGTGTGGAAGGAGTGGTCTTAAAATATGGAAATGGAATCAGGTAGTAAGGATTCCCCTATTTGCTATAAAGATGTTGTGCTCACAATCCTTATTATGCCATGGCAGAACAAAGTATTTGAGGATATAGTTCACTCACATGCCTCTCCTGCCTAAACCTGTAAGGAAGTTGGTAGGAAAATATCAAAATACTGGAGTATGTGGCCACTTCTGACTGTTCTTGGTAAGATCCTAGAAATGGGCCAGGTGCGGTGGTGCATACCTGTAATCTCGGCAGCTTGGGAGGCTGAGGCAAGAGGATCAAAATTTCAAAGCCAGCCTCAGCAATTTAGTAAAACCCTAAGCAATTTTGCAAGCCCCTGTTGCAAAGTTAGGGATGTGGTTCACTGGTTAAACCCCTCCAGGTTCAATCCCTGGTACAAAAAAAGAAAAAAACAAGATCCTATAAAGGACTTCACTTCAGCCAAGGTGGCTATATGAATGCAAAAAAAGACATTGACAGACTGACCCTGTTTCCTAGTAGAAATTCTAGATAATAGAGAGGCAGATAATTAATGAAAGGCTATGAAATTTGAATTTTTGGCCCTGAGTCAATGATAATGCTAGAAAATACAAGGAGAAAGGAAGGAAACATAGCAAAAGATAAGATTGCAACCAAGAGAATTGGGGGAAGCCTGATCCCCCAAGTACCTTCTGATATAATCTCCCTCCCTGGCAAAGAACTAAGCATTGGGATGAAGCCAGAGGATGAGAAACAGACCAGCTTTGCCTTTATCCCAGAAGCAAAAAGAAAAGTAACAAAATTAAGGGCTAGAGGATGGGCAAAGCAGTAAGGCTTTCTTCTAAGGCTAGGGCCAGAGTCAAGGGTCAAGCCACAGAGGAAAAATGTAGACTAGTAGGTTTGAAAACAAAAAGCTATCACTGCTCCAAAATCAATCTCCAGGTATCCTAGCCTACAGCACCAACAGAATTTGAGATACTGAAATACATACCCCTATCAAAAAAATCCTAGCCAGGGTGCATCTCAGATATATCTGTGAAATTCACTAGGCAATAAGGAGGAGGTTCGATAGTAGCTAGATACTTAAGTAAGTACATTAACTACGTCACATGTCTCTGATATCAAAGAGAGAACTATAATTATAGGACAATAAGGGCTAAATACAATGACATCTTTAACCCTCAAGACAAGTAGCAACTTTCTACAAAGACAAAAGAACCAAAAGATATAATATGCATAAACAGGAAAAAATTGAAAATGACTAACTCTGGAAAACACAACATATGTTAGAAAAAAATGTAGGAAGAGTTCATATTTCTTCAATTGTATTAAGAGAATAGCTTTAATTTACAAAGACTCTAAATCAAATAAGAATATTTATCTCAAATCTCTTTTGCCCTATTAGTTCATATGCCACGCCATCGGGGGAGCTGGACTACTAAACAAAGCCCTTTCAAAAGAAGCTGCTGGAGAGCAGCCTGGGGGCCACTGGCCTTCTTTTGTAGGAGGGAGAGCAGATGCTGAGGGTACCAGGCAGAATCACAGCAGCTTCCTAGAGTGCTTCCTCCAGGTGCAGCACAGGCAGAAGGCACTCTTTTTTTATACCTGCTATGGAACTCCATCTCCCACAAGCAATATAACCTTTACTATATCTCCATTAAGTGGCACAGAATTGTGGGAGCAGAGAAAACTTCCTGATTCCATAGATGTAGCTTACTTGCTAAAACAAGGAAAACGTGATTTCCCAGACCCACTGCATTCTCCCACCATTTTCACTAACTGCCTTGAGAAAATGGCATTAGAAACAACTAGAAGGCATATTTGTGTTCTATGAGCAAAGGAAAGAACATGGGGTGGGTGGGGTCACGGATGAGTAAGGGCAGGCTTGGAATGATTCTGCCAAAGATATTTTAACACTGGTGAACACAGGCCTTCATCTGGCTTATTAAAATAGTGCTGGGTAGTGAGAGGGAAGCTGGCACATTCTCGTGTAGATGAGATGGCCCTGGGGGTTTGAACGACAGTTGTGATACAGCTGCCGTGGCTAAAACTAGGCAAGTACAGATGTCACATCAACGAGGGAGTAATTTCATACTGTTCCAGGCTGCCAAATTCAAAATGCCAATGGAGGAAAAGTAGAGGTGAAGGAAGTCTTTAAAACAGACTAGATAACTATTTTAAATACCAATTCTGTGTATAATTAAAACTTTTTGCTGCCGAGGTCCATGAACAACAGTTATTATGGCTTAAAGTACTCAATCAAAAATCTTACTGCTCAGCAAAATGAAAACAATATAATGTGCTGTTCTCAGAGATTGGAACAGCCACATCAAATTTAGTCACTAGACATTAGTCTTTGTCATTCCAAATGTTTGTTTATAAAATGTCCTTCTACAAGGCTTTATTTTTCCTCCTTCAGTAATTGTTGTCCTGTAAGAACAGTGCTCTGTCACTCTCTATGTCCCAAGCTGATGTGTTAGATAAGATGAAATACTAAAAGCACATGGCATCACATAACAGTCCTGGTTTCCTTGAAAAGCTAGATGAGAGGAAGAGATGATTCGTGTACGCACACACCCACACAAAACTTACCAAATGCCTTCTTGGGTTCTATTAACTTCAAGGTAAAGAGCTCCTCTTTTTTTAATTCCTTTAACTTCTTAGCAACTTCATAGTGGCGCCACCCAACGATATTTTCTCCATTTATGGATTCAATATGATCCCCCACACAGATTGTTTTAACTGAGTCAATAATGCTACCATCTTTAATTCTCTGAAAGAAAGAAAATTGATGATGTTATAAAAAATAACTGTGTGGCATCACTTTTCATGCTCCTGACATATTACATCTATTGTATTGACACACTAACAATGCAGCTAAGGCTCAGTTAAAGAAGACCAAACAGCAAAGAACGACACCATCTAACTGCCAATCATTCTTCATCTTCCTTATCATTCAGAATTCAATTACCTCACAGTTACCTCGTCCTCTGAGAAGCTTTCCCTGACTTCCTCCCACAGGAATGAGTAAGGTGCCATTGTCATCTTCTACTATACTTTTTGCTATATACATTTAGCTTTAAGCTAAGCACTTTACATTTGCTGTTTAATTTAATTCCAACAACATTTTTGGTAGATCAGGAAGATGGAGGCTTGAGAAAAACCAAGTGATGTTCCCAGATTCAACAAACCACAGTGCAGTTGCTCCTTTTCTTCTCACTCACTGTAGCTAAATTATGATATCCTTGGGGACAGAGAGTCTAACACATCATTGTATGTCCTGTGCATGGCACAATGCCTGCATAGAAAATCTTTCTGTAAATGATTGTTGAATCATTTCAACATGAGATCCACTATAGAAATATAAAGCTTAAGATTTTTTTCTGTTGGCTACATTTTTTAAACCTTATTTACAAATGCAAAGATTCAAATGGTATGATCTTGACTAAGAAGACTGATGCGTAATAAGAGACAAGTGTGGTTATCATTCGGGAGTCAGTAAGAGTGATTTTATACTATTGTTCTTCCTTGGTCTATTTTAGATGAGAACTCAAGACTAAAGTAGAAACTTGAAACTCATCTTTCTTCAGTCTTCTCTATAATGCATCGATTATATAGAGTCTCAATATTAGATCTAAGGTCCTGTAATGGTTAATTTGAATGGTCAACTTGATTGGATTAAGAGATGACAATGAGTAAGAGGTTTTTGGGTGTATCAATGAGGATGTGTCTTGGCATGTGGGATAATCAACTGAAGTGGAGACCCTCCCTACGCTTGAGTGGCACCATCCAATAGGACCATGAATTGGATGGAATATAAGTTGGAAGAGCAAGGAAGCAGCAGCAGATGCAAGCTCAATTCTTCTTGAATAGGTTCTTGATTGCTGCTACAATCAACTGACTCTGGCTTCTTCACTCTTCCAAAGCAGACTCTGCCAGTGATTCTCCAGAAGCCTTCAGTCTAGTATAGCACCATTGATCACACTTATACTTCCTGTTATTCTGTTCCTCTATAGAACCCTGACTCATCCAGGCTCCTAAGATGGCACCAAGAATTTCTGAAAGGATTTTAGGGACAAGAGTTCTAGAAAACTCTGCAAGGGTAACACTCCTGCATGAATGTACAAGTACTTCCACAGTGACAAGAAGTGGGTCAAAATAAAGGCCATCAGCTGCCTCAGGAGTCACAAATCCTTCGCGGGAATGACAGCACAAACGCCAGGTGCTGCTGCTACTTCAAAAAAGCTGGTGTATTCCCCATCCTTGCCAGACGTGTAACATCCCCATCCTTGCCAGACGTGTAACATCTTCTGATTGAACATTGTGTCCAATGAGAGAAACTGATCTCATGTACCTCAGCATCTCCATAATACCATCATCATCAAAAAAAAAAGTTGTAAAAGATGAACCTGAGAAGGTTGGGATTTTTTTATGAAAAATGTGAGTAGATTTCCTTTTTTACACTTATTTTAAGAATATTGCTACGTTCATTGTTACAGTATTACCACGCTACATGCAAATGGAAAATAATACCAATTTAAACAGAGTTTATTATTTATCATTACAAATTGTTAATTATAAAGCAAAGACACCAGAAATTGCATAATCTGGCATTGTTTTATTAGAAATCCTTATTAGACTTCTATAGTTAACAAAAACAAAAGTAATCAGAACATACCATTCAATACAACTACGTTTTCTAAATTGCCACAGAAAAATAAACAAGATTAAGCAACAGATTAGAGTCTAAAGAAAAAAATTTAAACATACTGTTACATAACCATTTTAAAGGTATTAAAGAATTTAACTTGGACTGTTTTCTTAATTTTTATTCTAATTTATCTCTTGATATAGCTTGAAACTATTTTATATTTGATTAATTATACCATGCAAATTTCAGTGTTCTACTACATGCTATTTTTAGTTTTTCAGACTTACTTTTATGAGTTTATTAAAAATAAGCATTATATAAAATTAATAAGTAAAAGAGCTAAAAGTTACGCCTCACCCTTACTCCTGAAATAATGGTTGGAGTAATAGCAATTTCTCATTGCCCGGGCTACTGAGTAGGTATAACTGTCACTAGAAGAGGACCCAGACCAAAGGAGGAAAGGCAGTTACCAGGAGTCAGAGCAGGCAGCAGAGTGAGAATCCAGGCAGAGAATCTGGGATGAAAGAAGGGAAAATCAGTATGAGAAACTTAGAGAGGAAAACCAGAAGTTGGGCCAGATTTAGAAGCAAACTTGGAGACATTGATTATTTATAGAATGGGTTATCTGGAACTTAGCCTCCTAAATAGGTAGAATGAAGAATGAGGTAGCAATGGGGACTGAACCCAGGGGTGCTCTATCACCAACCTACATCCCCAGTCCTTTTTATTTTTCATTTTGAGACAAGGACTCACTAAATTGCTGAGGCTGGCCTCAAACACAGTCCTTCTTCCTTGGCCTTCCAAGTCTCTGGGATCAACAGGCATGTACCACTTACCTCAGCTGGTTTTTACTTTTTTTGAATGGTTTTTAATAATCAAAATAATATTTATAATTCAAAAATTATATGAAGCCTAAATCACAGTATCTGTAAGTAAGGTTGGTCCCACAGGGAAACACCCATACTCACTCAAGTATTGCCCATGGCTGTGGTGACTAAGTCGTTGACATACTTGAGTAGTTGCAACAGAGGCTGTACAACCCACAAAGCGCAAAATATTTACTATCTGGCCCTTTACAGGACATATTTGCCAGTTCCTGTCTCAGACTAGACTAGAAATTGGTTTCATTATAAGCATGATTTAAATTTTCTAACCAAGTTATTTATATACTTTTTGTCCTGGGAAATGTTAAAATCCTGGATGTTAAAATCATGACTGTTTAGGTCCACTGTCTTTTCACCTGAGGAGTTTCACCTGTGAGAATCGTGGAAAACTACAGAAAGCATCTATCTGCCATTTCTCTCTCTCTCTCTCTCTCTCTCTCTCTCTCTCTCTCTCTCTCTCTCTCTCTCTCCTAATTATGTAATGATTTATTGTTACTAGTTTTATGATTAAAGTATTAGCTACCAATTAAGAACACTGTCAGGTATTTTCACGTATTATCTTTATGTCTCAAATAACCCTATAAGCTAGGTGCTAATATTTGAGAGAAGGTTCAGAAAGGTTCAATGACTTAATCAGCGTCACAGGCTTTTCTGATTCTACATTCCCAGCTTTATTCATTACATTGTACTGCTTCCTCAATCTGGAGTCCTGCCCCTTCCCCTTAAATCCTATCAGTGTCCTACTCTTACTTTGACCTACTCTTACTTCCAGCTACTATTAAAAGCACATTAAGTATTTATTTCAGTACTATATACACTGAAATTGTAATCATACAGAAGAGACAAGCATGGTCCCTGCACAAGGATAGCATGCAAACTCATGCACATTCCATTTTTTTTTTCTGCTTATTTTGGCCAAGATAAGAATCACAGGAAGGATACGTCAGAAATGAATAAAACTGATTACTTCTAAGAAGTGGGGGAAGCTAATTGGGTAGAAGGAATAGGAGAAGAAATGGTACATCTTTGAATATATCTTTTAATATAGTTTTGACCTTTTTTGAATCATATAATATTTTTTTATATTCAGAAAATAAAATTAGCTAAACAGGGATGAGGAAAAAACAAACAGAAGCAAATGGACTCAATAGTATTTCAATTGAAGCGCATAGTCACCTGAGGTAGAGGGAAGTAGGAAAAAACTATTCCAAGTAACTTGTGAATACAAAACTTCAACTCTATATAATTTATACACACATACACACACACACAATCTAAAAACGAAATGATACATTCAGATCCTGAACTCTTCTCAATAGGTTTATTTTTCAGAGTATTTATGGATATAGCAATACTGAAACTGGTTGGTATAAACTACAGGACTAAGTAAATGAGTATTTATTTGAATAAATTTCAAAGTAAATATTTTTATAGAAAATCCAAGGAATAACCTTGAGATGAGAATGAAGCATAATTATGAATTCATCATTTCTAATAAACATGTTTTTCTTTGTTTTGTTTATTTGCTTTTGGTACTAGGGATTGAACCCAGAGGCACTTAATCACTGAGTCATATCTTTTCTGTATTTTATTTAGAGACAGGGTCTCACTGAGTTGCTTAGGGATTCACTAAATTGCTGAGGCTGGCTTTGAACTTGCAATCCTCCTGCCTCTACCTTCTGAGTTGCTGGGGTTACAGGCATGTACCACCATGCCCAGCATAAACATGTTTTTCTAATGTTATCACTGAAAAGACCTAGAAATAATAAAACTCCAGTAGCAATGAAAGAGTACAACTCATAACAGAACTTGAATTTGAAATATAATTTTAAAAAATCAGAGTTCCTTAGAGATCTTGTTGAGATCTGGGCCTGGGAAAAGGAAGACATAAGATGAGCCTAGAACATCTTGTGCCAGAAAGTAAGGAATTGCTCTGTTAAATGATGGAAGCCACATTGAAAGAGCCAACAGGATTCCCACAGGCCAAATCTCAGAAAATTTGAGCATCAAAATCAATTATAGTTCTAGCTTACAACCCATTGAATAAAATAAGAAATAATGTACTCATGCTAATAAATAAGTAAATAAGTAATGACAGCTTTTTAAAATAGAATGTTTTCTAAGAAATATATAAAGAATGATGATATTGGGAAAACCTCATTTTGCAACCATCATAGGAAAAATTGATTCAAGCAAGATATATCAACAGATGATAGATGTGTGGATTGTGAGTAAGGGAATAGGATATTTTCATAATCTCAAATTATCTCCCCACCATTATTTATTAATTACAAAGGAAAATAGAATACCTTTGCAGTGAAAAGACTGGTGGACTCCACTTTAGACAAGAGATAAAAATTAATATCATAAATAACGAGACAAACTAACATCAAGCACCTTCTGACTGTGGTACACTGAGGACACAGTAGTACTTAATGTAATTCTCCTTCCCAAAATGCACAACCTGTCTCTAACATGAAGAAACATCAAAAAAAAAAAAAAAAAAAACTCAAATTCAAGGATGTCTCTCAAAAGGCTAAGGAACTATTCTAAATTTTAAAAGACTACAAAGAAAAAACCCTGAAGGCTCAAGATAGCATAATAGTGACACCCAGTACTAGTTTTCTCCTCCCAGGGGATGGAAACAAAGCAACAGTTGTGTAACTGCTTTTGGGGTTAGTGGCTATGGGTGAGCATTGTAAATTGACAGCAAAGGAAACAAAACCTGGTGAAAGCCAGAGAGTAGGGATAATAACACAGCAAGAGAATTCCCAGTGTCTGGAAGCTCAGCTGGGGAAAGGGGACTCTCCCTTCCAAGGGAGTAAAGGTGAAAGAGAAAAAGTTGCAATATGGCACAGAGGACAGCACCTTACAGACAAACAACTTAAATAACTAGGTGACAAGGACTATGCATTACAAGTTAGCTTTAGAGAAGAAATTCATCCACCCCTCAGCAAACAGTGCTTTAGCCAGGAGCCCTTGAGATGGGCCCTATTGTCAGAGACCAAACTGCTCTGGGGGTCAGAAAATCTGGCATAATCACATGTCAGGGTTCCAGTGGACATTTGCTGCACTGACTAGATGGGCAGTGGCGACATTAGACAAGTGAAGCTTAGGGGAGTGTTTCTACCCTGCTGCAACTAGAAGGAGTGGAGGGCACAGCAGTTCAGCAATTCTGACCTCTACAACATGAACAAAACCAATCGAGTGTGCTTCTGCATGACCAGGTCTGAAGGTGCCAGGATGAAGGCTAGCTGACTGCCAAGTCCTTGTATCATCCCTTTCAGTTCAGAACTCAGTGGTTCAATTGCTCCCCCTACCCTTGGAGAAATTCTGGGGATCCACTACAGTTTTGCCATTCACCAGGCCACCCAGCACAAAGACTAAAACCCTCAGAAGCAAACATACACCTGGCACAGACCACATTCTGCCAAAATTCAGCTGAGGAGAGGGGCTTGTTGTGGTTCCAACAATCGCCATGCCCCCAGGTGCACAGACTAAAAGCCTTGTGAGAGAATATATGTACTCCTTCAAGATCAACACTCTGCCTCCACCTATTCAGCAAGATACCCAGGGCACAACCTGGATACCACCCCAAAGTCACTTGGCAAGAGCTGAGAGGAACCATAGCAAGCAGTAGTTGAACCACACTACTATCCCCATACCTGGTGAATTCCAACCTTAGAAGTCCTAGTAAGAAACATGTTTCAGTGCCTTGGAGGAGTTTGTTGTTGTTGTTCTCTATTCTATCTTTTTTTTCTTACTTTTGTTTCATTTTTAATTTTTCCTTTTTTTCTTTCTCATGTTTTTCCCTTTTATTTTTAATATCATTTTCCCTATCCGTTGTCTTTTTGTTTTTAGGTAGTTTTAATTATTTCTCTCTTTCTCTCTCTTATTTTTTCCAGTGCTGAGAATTGAACCCAGGGATTCAGATGCATCAGGGAAGTGCTGATGTCTCTGACAACATTCCCAGCTCAGATGAGAGGAATTAAGCCCAGCACCAACCATAACCCAGTCCTGCTAAGATCCTGGCAGACACTTCTGCTTAAAGAAAAGGGGGACATAAGCTCTCAACTGACCTCCCATACTAGGTGTGCACAGATAAGGAAGGCTGGGGACTGTATCCTGGACTGTACTCTGTGTTATTCCTACAGTTATATTAGAGAAGACAAACAAAATGTCATTACATCTATATGGATCCTCTATATCGTTCTTAGCCACACCTGGTCAGATCATGCAGGGCTATTATATCTGAAGATGAGTCCCACAGAGGAGAAGTTGTCATTCCAAGTCTAGTCTCCAATAAGAAGACAGGAGCTTCAGGCTCTTCAACAACACTGAAAAAATCAGTATCAGAATCACTTTCAAATAATAGTTCTACTGCCATCAACAGTACTTGTGGAAAACCCCAACTCCAGATAGAGGCTACCACTTCCAAAATTGAAATGCCCAGAGTCACATCCCATATACTCTGCTGTCTATACCATATCTATCTGAAGTACAAGAATTCCCCACTCTTACAAGTCTTGCAGAGATAGTGTATCTTTTCAAATTCAATATGGTATGCTCTGTGCCCTAATCCACAAATCACGACCAAACAAGCTACAGGGAGATTACACTATGGAGTCAGATTAGAAATAAACATACTGTATGACAAACCACTGCAGTCACACTGGCTTAAGAAAAATGCATACCATAAAGCCACCACATAAAAACAGAAGAGATACTGACCCCAACAGATGTGCAAATATCAACATAGATGGACAAGAAATAAGAACAAACAAGGTAATCTGTCATTTCCTAATGTTCATAGTACTAAAGAAAGAAAAAAAGAATGGATGAATGAAGAGAGCATACAAGATCTCTGGGACAGCACTAAAAGATCAAGCATCCATGGATACAGAAAATATAGTCAGTGAAATAATAGCAGAAAATGTCCCATATCTTAAGAAAGACTTGGATATCCAGGTATAGAAGGCATTTAGAACTCCAAATAGACATAACCAGAAAAGAACATATACACAACATATTATAGTTAAATTGCCAAAAGTACAGAAGAAATAAATAATATTAAAAGCTACGAAAGAGAAGCACCAAATCACATTTCAAGACAAAACCATTAGACTAACAGAAGATTTCTCACCAGAAACTCTGAAGGCCAGGAGTGCATGAAATAACACATTTCAAGTCCTGAAAGAAAATAATTGCCAACCAAAAATACTATACCCAGCACGGTTAGCCTTCAGAATCAAAGAAGAAGAAAATACCTTCCACAAAAAGCATTAACTAAGCATATAGCATATAAATGAGCATATAACTTTCAATAACTCTGAATGTGAATGGTCTTAATTCTCCAATTAAAAGACACAGACCATCTGAATGGATTAAAAACCAAGACCCTGTCTGGGATAGAGCAGGGGACACAAGACCCAATAATACACTGCTATTACAGTTTGAATCTAGAATTTCTCTCCACAATTCGTCTGTTTAAGATGTAGTCCCTAAAATAGCCATGTCCAGGTGTGGTGCTTTAGGGAAATGATTGGATCATGAAGACAATATCTTATTAGGAGATTAATCTGTTTGATGGGTTAATAATTTAAATGGACTACTAGAAGGATATAAAAACTGTAAGTAATTGGGATGTGGTTGGAGGAAGCAGGTCACTGGGAGCGTGTCCTGGAAGGGTTTATTTTCTATCCAATTCCTCCACCATCACCACCACTCCAAGAACTGAGCAGATTTTCTCTGCCATGCCCGTCCACCATGGTGTTCTGCCTCATCTCAGGCCCAAAGCAACAAAACTGTCCAACCCTGAATTGAAACCTTTGAAACTATAAGCCAAAATAAACATTTATTCCTCAAGTTGTTTATGCCAGATATTTTGGTCACAGCAAAAA